AATTAAAGATTTTTCCCTGTTTCATAAATCATTTAGGCATGAAGGTACAGTCGCCAGGCCAAAGGGCAAGAGAGAAAACCACAAAAGCATGGAGAGAGGGAGTCTGGGGTTGAGGGGTATTAGAGAAAGTGGGGAAAACCAATGCTGTACACTTCTGATGGTCAGATGTGACAGGTGGACTTTACTACAGCAATTTTAGCCCACTCATTTCTAAATACTAATGGTATAATAATTATCTTGGTAATCACCTGACTTTATTTCTGCTCTAAGAAATTCTGAAGAAAAAAATCCTGAATGGCAAAGCAGCAGCAAAATTAAGAATGAATGAAAAGCAAATCCTTTCACATACATGAGAGTGAGCTGTGAAACAAAGTAGATTTGCCTGGTGCTTTGATAAATAACATTCATACCTATGGAAAAGCTAGACTTCCTTAAATAAGAAAGTTATTTACCTATTATAGAAATTTGGTGAGTTATTTCCTAAGGGAAAGAAGCTGTGCTTCCAGTTTCCTGTAAATGAAGTTTATTTTCACAAGTTTATCACCCTACTGGTTTAATGATACCCTGGACTATAATAATAATATAATTTTCCGAAAAAAAAAAAGCTTCATTCCTAGGAGACAGAAACTCCATCTGAATTCTAAAATGTTTTTAGCTAGTTACATATATCTTTATTTATTTTTATTTTATGTATATGAGTATTTTGCCTGCGTGTGCAGTGCCTGCAGAGATCAGAAGAGGGTCCCTGTAACTGGAGTTACAGTCAGTTGTGAACTGCCCATGTAGGTGCTGGGAACTGAACCTAGGTCTTATGCAAGAGTAACCAGTGCTCTTCACTGCTGAGCCATCTCTCCAGTCCCATGTCTTTAATTTTTAATCTAACAGCTCAAAGAGCATTCTTCCTACTGTAATAATGAACAGATATGAAGAATGCCAATTTATAGCATTTTGAGATCTACAAACCAGGAAAAAAAAAAATCACTTGACTATCAATCTGGAAAGCCACAAGTGATACAGCATAGTAAACGTGCTTATAAATAGCCTGATGAACACTACCACTCATGTCGACATCTCCTATTGGTGAAAAGGAAATAGCACATACCCGTAGACCATAATAATCATTCAAGGTAATTTGAGAAAATACTGAAATAGGAAAAGCTATAAGTACCTTACAAAAACTAAAAGTTTTGGGTTGGCAAGATGGCTCAGCAGGTCAAGATACTTGCCACCAAGCCTGAAAACCTGTGTTCAATCCATGGGACACACATGATGGAAGAAGAGAACCAAGTCCCAACCAACCTCCACACCTCCATACATACTCTGTCACATGCACCCATTACATACATATGCACACGCTACCTTTTTTTTTAAATGTAGAAACAGGGCCGGGCACAGTAGAGCACACCTTTAATCCCAGCACTCACGAGGCAGAGGCAAGTGGAATTCTGTGAGATGAAGCCAGCCTGGTCTACATAGGGAGTTCTAAGCCAGCTGGGGCTACATGTAGTGAAACTCACTCTCAAAAAACAAAACCAAAAAAAGAAAAGAAAAAAATTTTTAGCAGAGTGTAGTGACAAGTACCTATAACTCGGAAGGCTGAGGCAGGAGAGCCAAGGAACTCAAGGGCACTCTAGATAACACAACAAAACCAAGTTTTAAGTTACTTATTTGAATTAATTATAATTCTTAATAAATTCCATCTGAACTGCTGCCTTGACAGAAGACAGGCAAAAACAGCAATAAAATGAAATATTCTGCTAATTTATCAGACTAAGTTTGTGGGTCAGATTTATATATGGGCCACATGGTGCATGTACTATGTACTCTTGGCCACAATGAACAGGGGCTAAAGACGGTGCTGAGTCAGATAAACAGCCGATTCCAATATACCTGATATACTTCTAAGCTCCATAGTCTATCTGATTTCTCATCTGTAACTCTGTGAGCCTGTTGTCACTGTGTTTGGCAGTCAAACCCAGGGCCATGCATATGGTAGGCAATCACTACCACTTGGCTATATCCTCAGACCTCAGTAAGTTTAAGTGAAGTGAGGTTTTGGGGGGGGGTGCGTATGATGTTATCATTAGCTGCCAAAGGATACAGATGAAAAATTAAACAGAAAAAGAACAGCAACAACTCAAGCCTCCCTTCCATCTGGCTATTGGCTTTATTTTCCCTCTAACTTATGCCTAATCCAACCCTGTCCCCCCACACAGGCTATTTTTCTTCGCCAGCCGTGCCTTTTCTTCAAAACTCAGCTCATGTATCATCCATACCTTTCCTTTGAGGAAACTAGTCCTTTCAGGACTAAAACTAAGGCAAGAATTTATTTTACTGCTGATCTCCAGGTCAGAACCATGAAATTCAGTTCCCTCTGAATGGAGTTTTTCTCCCTAAACCTTTGTGTGCACCTGGCTTTATTACAAACTAAAGAACAGATTTGCATTCTTATTAACAGTGCTCTGGTGCGTTTTTTTCTCCCCCCTCTGCTAACATCTGTTTAAGGGATGACAACCTAACAAATGAACCAAAATATCAAAACATGTTTATTTCTAAGCAAACAGATTTGAAAAGTCTCAGAATATCCATCCCAAGTCTCAGCTTCTTTAAAAGGGTATGTTGAGTTAACCACAACCTCGTTTAGTTTTTTTCTCACCCTGATTATAGTAGACATCCTTGGCTTTCCTGAAAAAAAGTATGCATAATTTTCTCAAGACATAATTATGTTGGATAAGTAACAACTTTAATTTGTTTTCTTGATCACAGTCTGGTGCTCTGATTCCTTGAAACCTCTGAGAATCATCAGAAATGTTATTACGGTGCCCCGTCCAGGAAAATGCACAGAACCCGAATTTTTTGCATACAATTTTCAGAGGACTCTGACTACTCCAGGTTCTTCAGCAGATTATCTACCATCCTAGGTTAAGGTTTCTAGAGCTGAGCATTAAATTTGTTTCTACTGTTATATGTATACATTTTTAAAAATGGTCTTCCTTGCTGGGCATGGTAGCACAAGCCTTTAATTCCAGCACTCAGGAGGCAGAGGCAGACGGATCTCTCCCGAGTTAGAGCCCAGCCTAGTCTACCTGATGAGTGCGGCGGGGGTCGTCGTCGTCTTCCTTAATGAGACCTCAGAGTTGAGAAGCAGTTTCCGTTTGCAAACATCACTACATCTAGTATCCTAACTTGTTGATAGAAAATTGACAGTTTCTTACCTCTGAAAAATTAACAGCCAAAGGAATGATCCCAGCCACGTAACATCCCACCAACATAGCCAGAGACAGCAGACTAATGGAAATAAAATCATCCATTCTGCCCTCCGGTATTCACCCAACACCAGGTTTCAAAATGCCAGAGGTTTCCAAAGGTGCTTAGACTCCTTAAACGTGTAGTTACTTTCCAAGAGGAAAAGTGGGTTTCTCAGTTCTTTCCGCTCCCTCACCAGCCGATGTGTTCACGAAGCACGTTGCTCTTGAACCTAGGAGGAAACAGCCCCCTTTTGCTGATACTTCCACCAGAGAAAAGTTCGCGCAATCTTGGGTTCTTAGATGCCAGTCACTGAGAAATTGTGCAAAAGATCTCTTCAGTCGTCCGAATGAGGGTAGCACAGCGCCCCTCTCCCTTAGACAACTTCCCTGGGAGCAGCAGCAGCAGCAGGTTAACCCCAGCGAGCCGGTGCGTCCGGTACCGGTTGCACCCGGTTCCCTAGGGCAGCCCGCAGGTGATCCGCCCCCAGGGAAGGTTAACCCCAGCGAGCCGGTGCGTCCGGTACTGGTTGCACCCGGTTCCCTAGGGCAGCCCGCAGGTGATCCGCCCCCAGGGAAGGGGCCAGCCCACTAGTGCCTGCAAACTCCCTTCCGAGTCCAGACTGGGGAGAGAGTCCTGCAGGTGTCCAACGCTGGGCCCTAGGGGCTCAACAGCAAAGCCGATCCAAAGCAGTCCCTGTCCTACACCCGGTGCTGGCCATGGTACTCCCCTCAGCCGGGCCTTGACCCGGAGTCGCCAATACTACAGCTGCCATGGCCGCCGAGTGGCACCTCTTCATGACACCCACTTCCGGATTGTCTCACCACCCCCTCTTTAAAAGGTACTTCCGGGTTGCAACCGACCTATAAGCCGGGAACACTTACATTGCCGCCATTTTTTATTTAATTTAATTAATTTATTTATTTTTTGGTCTTTTTGAAGCAGGGTCTCCCTGTAGCCCCAGCTGTCCTGGAACTCACTATGTAGACCAGACTGGCCTTGAACTCAGAGATCCGCCTGGCTCTACCTCCCAAGTGGTGGGACTACAGGCGTGCGCCACCACGCCCGGCCTTGCCGCCATTTTTTTAGAAAGGCTAAAAAAGTCTGTGCCACTGTCATACTCGGGATCAATTTTTCCGTATATCTAATAACCAAAGTTTGGAAGGGGAAGCGTCTTGAAACAAATGATTCTCTTTAAAGCTTTGAAATTTTCCCTTACGCTCCTCAGCGCCCTTACCCAAGATGGCTGAAATAGCGTCAGTGTCCGCTCTATATGCCGGAAGTCTGTGAATCTCTATGGTCCAAAAGGCTCCTTCGGTCGCTCATCCGACGACTTCCGGCTGCTGCTCTCGCGGGATTGGCTGTTGGCGGCGTTGCGGCTGAGCTCGTGTGCGGCGGTGGCGGTGGTGGTGTTGGCGGCGGCTGCAGCAAAGCGTTTGGCGCGATGGTGAGGCAGGCCTCCGCGGCTACCTTGGGCCCCCATCTTCGGGGACGACTCCTACCCCTACCCCCTCCCCGCTCCCGCCCCTTCGGTCCCCAGCCTTTCCGCGCGAGGAAGAGCTGCTCCCGGCTGCTCCCAGTCACGCGACCACCCCCTTCCCCTTCCCGCCGCGGAGACGCGGGGCCTGGCTATAGGCCCGAACCTGCTCCGCGGTGCGGCTGCGCGCCCGCCCGCTGACCAGGAGGGGCATGAGGGGGCCGGAGGATGCGCGCGCTCGGGGTCGCGGCTTGGTGATGGGAGGCACGGGGTGGCGTTCCTTCCTTCCCTGGGCTCCAGCCTCCTGTGGGAACAATGGCGGGGGAATGTGTGCCGACCCTTTCCCCGAAACTGGCATTCGTCACCTTGTTCGCGTGGGGACCAGGCAGGTCGCCTTCGCGTGACGGTGTGCTCCCTCAGCCATTTATTCCCTTTTGTCTTTCAGCGCTGTACCTCAGAAGCCGCGGGGGGGGTATGGGGAGCAATTTTTCTTTTTCTGAGATCCTTAATTGCCCCATTTGGCATTTCCACCAACCCCTCAGCCTTGATCTTAACCCTTATATTTTTTTAGGAGTGGAGTCTTAAAAAACACTCCAGGATCTAAGCACCTTAGAATCGGACGGGCTGGTAGTAAATTAGGGTTTTTACTTTATTTTTTTGTATTACGTATATTATGTGTGTGTCTGAATGGGCTTGTGCACGTAAGTGCAGTGCCGGTGGAGACCAAGAGAAGGCGTCACATCTCTTGAAGCTGAAGGTACAGGCATTTGTGAGCCACCTAATGTGGGTCCTGGGAACTGAACCTTGGTCCTCTGCAGGAGCAGCAAACACTTAACCGCTGAGGATCTCCAGCCCACTTGTTTTTAAGTCAACAAAAGTGAGAAGTTCACAGGAATTATTTGTAATCGGTGATAGCGCACTTTACACTTTTCTGATTGGCCGGGTTATTGTTAACATGGACTTTTTTTTTAGTTGTACATTCTTGAACTAAGATATTTCACTTTTTGACCCAACTGTGTCTCCTGAGGACAAGTTAAATCGGCTTCATTTTGCTATAACTCACAGTATGGCTTTAGCCAAATCATTCTACCTCAGAGTTTCCATTCTCTGCCTTAAATGTTTAGATTAAAATCTGAGAAAGTGACAGCAGCTAACATCAACAGTCCATGCTCTCTGAACAACGTTGGTGTAGAAAGTTTGGGTTTCTTTTTTCTTTTCCTTTTTGTAGTTTGAGGAAAACATTTGAAGTTAGTGAGCAAGTGTAAATGTTGCATTATTTCCACACTAGCAGAGTTGCTGTTCTTAGTTTGTGAGATTTCTAAAAAGTAAAGCCAGATTATTCATTAGAATGAATCACTACCACTTAGTAGTCAGGGAGAGTAATACTTTCCTGACTTGAATAAGGAGAAAAATATATAAATGTGCTTTTTTGATTCTGGTCATTCCCCAGAGAGGCTGTGTCTTTGAAAAAAGTAGGTAGAGAGAAAACCAGGCGTCGTGGTGTGCAGGCCTTTAATCTCAGCACTTGAGAGGCAGGAGCAGGTGGATCTCTTGAGTTTGATGCCAACCTGGTCTACATAGCAAGTTCCAGGCCAGCTGGGGCTACAGAGAGACCCTGTCTCAAAAAGACTGAAAAAAAAAAAAAAAAGTGGGGGGTGGGAAACACCTGGTGACAACCTCTTACCTCCACACAGGCATGTACACAGACACAAAATCAAAAGGTTCTGAAAATAGCTCCAAAAAGGAAAGTGAATGAAACTGGTTTGGGAGGTAGTATTGAGTTGAGAACATGAGGCTGGACAGATGGCTCAGTGGTTCAGAGCACTTGCTGCTCTTCTAGAGGACCCAAGCTCAGTTCCTAGCATCCATATCAGATAGTTCACAACCACCTGTAACTCCAGCTCCAGAAGATCAAACCCCCTCTTGTGACCCTCAGGTACTTACATATGTGGCATTCATTTATTGAATCTTTTAAAAAGTTGGTGCCAGGGCCAGGGATGTAGCTCAAGTTTGAAGAGTGCATGCCAAGCAAAGACCTGAGTTTGATCCCCAGCCCTGCATAAACTATGTGCAGGTGGCTCACCTCTAATCCCAAGGGCAGGAAGACCAATACTCGTCAATCTGGACTACATGAGACGTCATTTCAAAAACAAAAGTGAATGGAAGACAGTACCAACTAAAAATAACCATTTTGACAGTTCTGAAAATGTAGGAATATTCCGTCTTTAGTATACTAGTTTTTAATCTTTCGCATTAGTAAGCATTGCACTGTTCGTGTCAATCCAGGTGAGAATCAGTGTGGACCTCTTCTCACCAAGTTCTAGTTCTGCTTCAAATCTTCTCAAACTTAATCAAAAGATCTCAGTACTTGATGGGGATGGAGAAATAATGATAATGCTTTACTTTGTACATGATATTAAAATACTATTTTTCTGGGTTTTTTTTTTTTTTTTTTTTTTCTTTTTAATCTGGATGTCAGGTATCTCCGTTCCAGTTTATTGACAGTTACATTTTTGAATTGCCTCAAAATAGTTTGGGCATCCTGTTGAGAATTTATTTTTTAGTCAGAAGTTAGTATTGCAAAAGAAGGAAATATGGAAAATAATTTGATTTAGGATTGGGTTTCCAGTGAAGTTGCATTATAACAGCATTTAATTACTCATTCTTACATGCATGGAAAAACTGGATAAGCCATAATTTCAATGGACCACTATTCTCAGCTAGGCAAGATTGCTCCCTACTTCCCAAGGACATCTGGAGGTATTTTTGGTTATCACAACTTTAAGAGGGTTAATGTTAGTTGCATCTAGTGGGTACAGGTCAGGGTTGCCATAAAACATCTTGCAAAGCACAGAACAAACTCAATTTGTCTACCTGTCCCAAAATATAATAGCGTTGAGCTTGAGAAACCGTGAAATTGACCCACCAAAGAAAACACAAGAGGAAAGCCATCAGTATGCCAACTGCCCTTTGGTACATTCACGTGCCATGCAGTGTGATTATCTAACCACTTCATGCGACTCTAACATTTAAAAATAAGTGGTTTTGATATGAGATAGCCCCTTAAGACAAATCCTCTACTAGGTGAGTAGTTTGATTGGGGGGGGATTAGTATTTACTATATACATTTTATATTGCCGATCTATCTTATACCTTGATGTGAGTCTTAATTCCTGCATAAATGTTGTTCCATTGTTGTGCTAAAGTTGGAAACAACTTAGGTTGATACAATGATTATAGTATTCCTCTTTTGTCTCTCCCTTGATCCACCCAAATCTTAGTTTTTAGCCTATATCTTAAGTTAGAATCTTAGTAGTGACAGATAGAACGTGATCAGTGGAGACAGAAAACCTTAATAGGGTTTTTTTAAATCTGGTTGGGAAGAAAAGGAAGACAGTGCACCCAGTAGCTTTTGTTGAGTACTTGCTGGTGAGTATATTTGGAGTTTAAGAGGTGACCAGGAGAATAAGGGGGGAGTCTTCCGAGGTACTTGTGACTCTAGCTGCTGATACCACACTTGGGCAAAGGCATCAGTATTGTGGGATGGGCAGCCTGGTTAATTGTGTCTTAATAACTAACAGCCTTAGGTCATGCTGTGAATTTCTCAAATGTAAGTCGGAAACTGCATTGAAATTGCTTTTCCCCCTTCAGTCTCACACCATTTTGCTGGTACAGCCTACCAAGAGGCCAGAAGGCAGAACTTACGCAGACTATGAATCTGTGAATGAATGCATGGAAGGTGAGTTTAATGTTAATCAAAGGATAGAAACATTTGAAGCCTCACACCCCCAACCATTCATTTGTAAAATAAATGCCATCTAGGGACCGGAATTGTTTTTTCCTCTAGATTTCTTAAATTCTTAATTTAAGCAGGGAAGATACATACTTAAGATGGACTACGTTTATTGGCTATTTTTTACATTAAAAAATGCTATTTTTACTGCAGATATTACTGTTTAAATCAAGCTTGTGCATATATATATATAATCATTACATTCAAAGAGTCTTGTAATATTCTGTTACTATATTTTATCTTGTTATGTTGTATTATGTAGGTATTTTACAGATACCCCTATAACATTCTGGCTAATCTCCAGCACTATAAGGTTATTACGGCAGCTCTGAGAATGTCTTCTGAAACCTAGTAGTCTGCCTATTAAGCCAATGTTAAAAACTGTTTAGATTCCATTATAGCCCATGAGAATGTTAGAAAATAAAAATTAGTTCAGAGAAAAAAAGGCTAATAGAACCAAATCAGCATGATTTATTGGGCATTTGATAAATTGACACCCCCCCGAAGGGAACTATTAGCCCTTAATGTTACTTTACTGGGGTAAACCCCTAGAGCACAGATTGGTTCTTTGCAAATTAGATTCATTCTTTATTTTTTTGCAAATTGGATTCATTCTTATACTTAATCATTACATCAAGTTAACCAGTTGCAGTCCCCCACATCCTTCCTAGCAAATTGTTGTTCTTTCTGTTAAAATTGGATAGTTGCTTTGATTTTGTTCCTAAACAAGCCCTTAAAGCTGTTGATTATTCAAAACTAACTGGGGTAGACTTCAGATCTGTCCATTTAAAAGCAGCAGTGGTTATTCCTGTGCAGACAAAAGCTACTTATAATCAGAGATTGTTTCAAGGTAGCTAGTGCAGTTCCCTTGGGTCTACCATCAAATTCAACTCTAAAGAGGCAAAGGGGTTTTTTCACAGCATCTTCAAGTCCATTCTTTGATGTCTTTGCTTGCTATTAAGGCTAACTGTAAGGTATTGCTTTGGCATCATGTCTTCTTACCTACATTTCATGTTTGGGCTGTAATTGGACAGTAGCCTTTATTAACCTTTGTTTTAAGAAAACCTAACTCTGCTATCTGTTTATGACAGCGTTTTGATACCTATCCCAGGCTAGCCTGAAACTCAAGATTCCTCTGCCTTGACCTCCTGAGTACTGGGATTATAAATAATTACCTCCTGGCTTATAAAATTAATGTGCTTGGTATACAGATTTAGGTTTGTAGAACAATTGAACAGAAAACAGTTCCTTCACCCTCCATCCTTACACAATTTCTGTTACTGACATCTTGCATTGGTGTGGTACATTTGTTAATGTGATAAACTTGAATTGACAACATTAACTCCATACCATAGTTTGCATTAGGGTTCATTCTGTGTTGTACAGTTCTGTGGATTTTGCCAAATTGATTGGGTGATAGTCCATCATTATAGTGCCATCCTGGATGGTTCCACTGCCCTAGAAATCTCTCCCTGCCCTACCTTCCAAACCCCAGGCAACTACCAGTCTTTGAATCATCTTTAGATTACTTGTAATACCTAACACAGTGTAAATGCTAGTTAAACAGTTGCTATACATTTTTTGTTGGGGAAATGATAAGAAAAATATCTGTAAATGTTCAATATCTGTGCAGTTTATTTTTCAGATGTTTTCAATCCATGCCTAATTGAATCCATGGATGCTAAACCTCATAGGCTCACTGTACTAATTTGAATTGTGATCACATAGAGTTTTTACACTAGCTTCTTTGATGTAACAATGCACTTAAAGTTCTTCCATGTCCTTTCATGGCTTGATAACTCTGCTTTCTTACTTAGAACTAGTGGTTTATGGGCTCGGGGTATAGCTCAGTCTATAAAGTGCATGCCTAACATGTACAAAGCCCTGCATTTGCTCCCTAGTAAAACATAAACCACATATGGTAATGTGTTCTTGTGATCCTAACACTCAGGAGATAGAGGCAGGAGGATTAAAAGTTAAAAAACATCATTAGCTATATAGTGGGTTCGAGGCCAGCTTATGTTAGCATCATCTAAGAAACCATTCTAGCCTAAATGATTGAAGCCTTTTTTGTTGTTTTTGTGTGGTTTTTTAAAAAGTTCTGTAGTTTGCAGTTTTAGGTCATGGGTCCATTTTATTTTTATTTTATGTGTATGAGTGTATTGCCTGCATGTTTGTGAGT